GGGGGGTGGGAAGAAATAAACCAAAGAACTTATATGCATAACCGATGGACACAGACAATATTGTGGGAAAAGACAGGAGGGGGGCGGGAGTCAATGGGGGAAGAATATGGAATATCTGTAATACATTCTACATTCAACAATAAAGATTAAAAAAACAAACAAACAAAAAAACCCAAAAAACAAGGACAAACAGCATGGGCAACTTGCAGCTGACCTGCAAATAACAAGCCATTACTTTCCCAGCCAAGAACACTTGAGAGCACATGGTTAAAAGTCTCCCTAAGGAGCACGGTCAGTGTGGCTCAGTAGACCCATGCACCAAGACACTGCTGGTTCAATTCCCGGTCAGGGCACATGCCCAGGTTGTGGGATCAATCCCTAGTGGGGGCATGCAGGAGGTGGCCAATGGCCATTCTCTTCTCGCTCATCGATGTTCTCACTTATTGATGTTTCTCTCTCTCTCCCTCTCCCTTACTCTCCCTAGAAATCAATGAAGAAAAAAAAGTTTCCCTAATGAAAGAATACTGGAAAGGGGGAGAGAAGGAAGAGTCTTTTTACCCACTAAACAAAGAAATCAGCCATTTTGGGGAAGGGTAAAGGAAAAAAAGGGCAATTTCATTTTTAACTCCCCAGGACAAAAGCCAGCAGTCTCAAGGCTTGACAAGATAACATTGCCAGGTGCTTCTCATGAGTTCTGGGAAGGCCACAACAAAGTACAAAGGGACCTTGAGAATTAATCTCTGTACGAAAATATTCAGCAGAGGAATGTTGAAACCTCTAGACAGGAGGGTATATAACACCTCAGACCCCCACACAACTGGCTCTTCAGATTAGCTGAGCACCTGTGAGCACTTCATAAGCCAGATACATAGATTTGCCTGTTTCTTTAATAAATTCTGCTTGTTTTCATAAATTGTGTGTGTGTGTGTGTGTGTTTTCTCTCCACAATGGAGCCTTCCCGTATAAATTCGTTATATGAGAGGACAAGGATTGAGGTTGGGGACAGAATTTTCCCCCGACTCAGGGGGCTGTCTGATAACTCCTCTCTGATGTCTGAGAAAGGACCCTGTATCAGACGGAAGAAAGCAGGGGAAGGGCATGTCCGGACATAAAAAGTTCAAAGAGCAAAGGGTATAGAGGAGGAATTATGGAAAGGAAAGTGGAGTGCAGGCATTTATTAGTTTTAGAAGAATTTAGAGACCGTCTTTAAAATTTTTTCTGAATTTCATTTTTTTCCTTAAATCCTCACCCAAGGATATTTTTCTATTTATTTTCAGAGTGGGAGGATAGGGGGGAGGGGTGGAGAGAGAAACATCGACATGAGAGAGACACATTGACTGGTTGCCTCCCGCACGACCCCAACCACAGCTGGACACAGAACCACAACTGAGGTAAATGACTTTGACCGGAATTGAACCTGGGACTCTGGTCCATGGCCAATGCTCTAACTGCTGAGCTACACCAGCCAAGGCTAACTTCATTTTTTAAAAATAATGTTATCTGTGCTTCTCCTAGAAGCTTCTAATTTTCAAATTAAGATATGCTTTCCATTTCTGCAGTTTAATTTTAGAGTTGGCATTTTTCTATTTTTCTTTTATTATCTTCACTTGAAGACACTTTTCTTGCATTTATCTTCAGATAGAGCAGGAGGGAGAGAAGGAGGAAGAGAGAGAGAAACACTGATGTGAGAGAGACATGTCGAGTGGCCGCTACCCACACGACCACAACTGGGGCGGGGGACAAACCGCAACTGAGGTACGTGCCCTTAGCGGGAACTGAAACCATGTCTCTCTGGTCTGCAAGCTGACACTCTAACCACTGAACCAAACTGGGTTTTCTATTTGTTTTGCATGCAAATAATTAACATAAACACCCCAACATAACTGTATTTTGGTCATTTTAAGTTGATATTTCCCTGTTAAATCTTCCCATTTTTGTAAAGCACTTACCAGGAGTATTCATGAGTGCTACGGTCTGGGAGTTTCCAGCCTTGCAGGCATAATTTTTCATGTTAATCTTAGTATCTTCAGGGATATTTGTAGAGTCTGAGTAAATTTTTCAGTGATGTTATATAGTGGGTCGAAGTGTGTTGCTTATGGCTTGAGCTCCAAGAGGCTCTCACACCTTGAGATGCATTCAACCCTTTTACATGCCTCAGTTTCTCTCCCGGGCTGTCTAACACAGCCGTGAGAACTTGGGAGCTCTAGGTGACCAACCTTTACAGGCATGTCCCTGGACGAGTCATTTATTTAATTACAGTTGAGTTGGAATTTCCCTACGGGGCCCCTGCATGTCATGAGGAATGACCTCTGACACCTCCACAAAGATTCTTAGTCACATAAGAACACCTGAGATTTGGGCTGAAGGGAGGTCTTGCCCCATATCTTCAGAGTTGAAGGAGTTCAGCTCTCATTTATATAGTGAAGGTTTTTGCTCAGACTCTCAGGAAGCAATTCCAATTGAAAAGCCAAAGTTAAAAACCAGCCACCTATTTTTTCCTCCTGTCTCGCCTTAGCCTGGGTTCTGTCAACCCTTAACCTTAGTTTTCTTTTGAAGATTTAAAAGTACAGCTTAAATAAAGTCAGAGCCTCTACCACAAGCAAGGGAAGGTCCTGGATCTAAGAGACAATTCACCCAAGTTCACCCCATGTGGTGTGGAGCCGGCAGACTCACTGAGCCCTTTATAGGATTCCAGAACCAGGTCCAGGTCCTCGGAGTGGTCCTGGGTGAGATTCTTTGGAATCCTGCCTACTATGCCAAGTTAATGTCAATGTAAGCAGCATTCAAACCTGTGAAGAATTTCTGTGAGTTTATTTGAACCAAACTGTCAACAACTGCCAGGAAGCAAAACCTGGATGGATTGAGATAATGCTCCAGACAATGGCAGTTTTGCAACTTATTTTATATAATATATAATAGAGAAGACATAAGTGGGCCATATGAAATTCATTGGTGATAGATTAGGGAGGTGGGAGAAAGTAAAGCGGGGAAACCTCTGGGACTGGATAAAAAGTAAAATGATAGACACATCTTTTATATAGGTGGTACAGGAGAGTGAAAGCCAACAATTAACGCAGTAACAATGAGGGGATCTGTGGTCTCCACTCTGGTGTGGTGCCTGTGCTTTGAGGAGTCTGGAAAAAGGAAACTAGTTAGACATTCTAAAGGTATGGTAACGTAGATGCAAAAAGACAATAAACAGGCTCAGTTAAGGTAAAGACTGACTTTTGTCAAGGAAGATTCTAGCCTGGGACATGACTACCCACCATAAACTGCTTTTAGTTAAGTTTTAATTTCAGACCATCCTTTGTGCTTCCTTTAGGTCTCATATTGTAAGGCCACTATCACACAACAATATGAAGCCATATTCATTCACCGTGCTCACACGCATACTCAGTGATCATAATAGAGCTGTGCTTTGCTGCAGGGCTCTGTCATTATACCCCCACCTCTGAACAGTAACCAATTATTAAAGTATGTAAGTTTAACAAGTTGAAGTTCAACAGTTATTGAAGTTGAATAAGTCTGTCCAAGTTCTTAAATCAAATCAAAAACCTTCTGTTTTATGTTTGTTTTTCAGAATAACATTGTGAATGTCTCCAAGTGAAAGTGTAGTATGCCACTTGGCTTTAGGGCGTAACACAGCTGGTTTTGTTTTGCAGAATAAGACTAAAACATGTTATTAGTTAGTCCACAAGACAAAAGATTTATAGAGTAACTTCCCCAAGAATCTACAGCAAGGATAAACTTACCTTATAATTTTAAAGAATGCTCTCGCTCATGTACTTAATTTTCCCTTTTTATCTACACTGGTGCTTAAATAGCCACATGCTAAATTCTTGATAACATTCCTGTTGCTTTCAGTGAGTATTAAAAACTTCTTGTTTCAACTTTTAAATTGCCTTGTTTTACTTAAAGTTTTCATAAACATCCTCAAATTCTTTTTGAAAATACACAAATAATAAGCAGTATTCATTACAATTAATGCTGCTCAAAGGTGTGAAATCAGCAAATTATTAGGGCATAACTTTAAGTGTGCTGTTCAGCACAAAGTAAAATTATGCACAGCTTTATATGATCTCAGCTGGGTAGGACAAATTAGATGCTATATCCATATACTTTACTATAAGGTGGAACATTATATTTTACCATTGCATTTCAATGAAAAAATATGTATTTAAAAACTTTTCTGATAAATATCACATTAAAATTTAAACAACAAATTCAGGCTAATTAAGTTAAGAGATCGAGAACTCAGGAAGTTGTAGCTAGGACCTGGAGGTTACTGTGCTAAGTGAAATAAGCCAGTTAAAGAAAGATAAGTATCACAAGATCTCACTTATATGTGGAATTTAATGAACAAAATATAATGACGAACAAAATAGGTCCAGAGGCATGGATGCATAGAACAGACTGACAGCTGTCAGAGGGGAGGAGGGTGAAGGGCATGGGAAGACATTAACAAAGGAACATATATTCATATATGAATAACCCATAGACACAGACAATAATGTGGGGAAGGCCCGGGGTGAGGCAGGGGTAGGCAAAGTGGAGAGAAATGGGGGAACATCTGTAATACTGTCAACAACAACAACAAAAGTTGTGGCTAGACTACCAGCATTGCCAAAAGTCTATATGCCCACCTACTTGATGCTTTCTTCTTCCTCAATCTAAAAGTATATCTCAGAAGAAGACAGTAACACTTGCCCATTTTATGCTGTTGATAGGTGGAGAAATCAGAAGTTCACAAAACTAAACCCTTTATAAACTATAGTGTACATGTTAATAAAAATAAAGGATTTCTTTTTCCAATAAATCATTTTATGCTTTATTGATTAGGATTGTATTTTACTTTTACTTTGATAATCCAGCTAAAAATTAAATTTATGTCTCTAAAACAAAGAGTAATTGTTTTCCTAAATCCCATTTAAACTTTCAGAGTTAAACTGCTAAGGATTCCAGGCTTGAATTACAAGGACCCATGCAAAAATTATTCTTACCTTTACACCCTGAATGAGACCATTCATGAGGAATGTGTGTTGAGGAAATGTTTCATGTAGAACCTACAAAAAGCAAACAAACAACAAGACAAATTCAAAAGCAAATTAAAGGAAAAGATTTCTGCTTCTATTAATGGCAGGTTAGGTAAGTAAGATACAACCACATAATAAAATTTTTTATCTATAAATGAAATATGAATAATATCTAAAAGCATGGAAAGTTAACAAGACAGTGAGGCAGAAATCTAAAAAAGAACCTAAAAAGGTACTCTAGTCCCTCAGTTGCTCTTGTTACAAAAGCATTTGCAGCAAAAATAAGTCATTAATTAGCTACCCTCTCAATCATAACAATTTTAAGCAGGTATCATAAAGGGTTATACAAACCCAGGTATAAACCTGCAGCCCAGTTTTATGTCACCGAGGTAATCCAGGACACAACAAGCCTTACATTTGGATTCCAGACTGGTAGCACCTCCATATGTCTAATTGAATAAAATCTAGCCCAGCCAGTGTGGCTCAGTGGATTAAATGTCATCCCATGCACAAAGAGGTCACCAGTTGGATTCCTGGTCAGAGCACATGCCCAGTTGCAGGCTCCAACCCCAGTAGGGGATGTGCAGGAGGCAGCCAATGGATGTTTCTCTCTCATCAATGTTTCTAGCTCTCTCCCTCTCCCTCTTAAAAAAAAAAAAAAAAATCAATAAAAATATGTGTTTTTTAAATATCTTTTTTATTGATTTTTTTTGGTAGAGAGATAGAAACATGGATATGAGAAACATTAATCAGCTGCCTCCTGCATGCCCCCTACTGAGGATGGAGACTGCAACTGGCACATGTGCCCTGACTAGGAATGGAATAGGGGGACCTCTCAGTCCATGGGACAATGTTCAATCCACTGAGCCACAACAACCGGGCAAAACATGTGTTTTTTAAAACAAAACTAAAATCACTGCTGAAAACATCACCCATGTATATACTGAGGTCATGCAGGCTTCAAATCAACCCATGTATATATATTTTTTAATATAATGAGCATCACATGATCAAAGAAAATCAAATACAAAAGGAAGTAAGACACCATGCACAAAAAATAACAAACAGAAAACACAGACTTTCAAAGACTTCACATTTTGGAACTATTAAACACAGACTTTAAAATAAATATGCTTTCCATGTTCCAAGATACAGAAAATAATCTTAAAACTTTTGAACTTGAAATTGTATAAGAGAACATAGTAGATTTTATTTTTTATCCTCACCTGAGGACATTTTTCCATTTTTTTGTTCAGATAGAGTGGGGGAAGAGAGAGAGAGAGAGAGAGAGAGAGAGAGAGAGAGAGAGAAACATCGACGTGAAAGGGACACATCGAGTGGTTGCCAACCGCACGACCCAACCAGGGCCGGGGACAGACTGCAACCGAGATATATGCCCTTAGCGGGAACTGAACCCGGGTCTCTCTGGACCGCAGGCTGACTGATGCTCTACCACTGAGCCAAATCAGCCAGGGCAGAACATAGCAGATTGTAAAAAGAAAATGAAATTTCAAAATGGGAAGAATGTATTAAGTTAGGAACTCAATGGATATCTTTTAAAAGATTAGAGAAAGCTGAATAAAGAATTACTGAACAAAAAAGCAGGTTAAAAATATTCATCCACAGTAAAGCAAAATGATAGAAAATTTTAAAAGAAACAAGGAGCATCCAATAAGAAAGTCTGACACAAGTTCAATTAAACATGTCCTATAATGAGAATGAGGCAGAAACAATATTTCAGGTGCCAATGGCTGAAAATGTAAAAGAACCAATGACATACATCAATGTAGGAATTAAGGTAGCCAACACATTCTAAGCAGTATAAGAAGAAATCCACACTCACAATAACATGAAAACTGCAGAATGTCAAAGAGAAATGTTTAAAAACAGTCAAAGAAATAACAGATGGTTTCATAACTGCAACAAAGGAACCCAGACAAAAAGCATGCTATTATTCTATCATGTAATGAGAACATAAAACAAAATCCAATGTAAAATTCTATATCTAGTTAAATGTCCTTTGAAGACAAAGGTAAATATTCACATCTTTTAACCTAGCAAAAACGAATTTGCTAACATATAGTAAAAAGTTTTACTACCTGATAGACTCCAACTATTAAATATTAAAACACACACTTTGAAAAGAAAATAATTCAGCTGTAACATCCAAGAGGCAAAATAAAAGAGCAAAATAAAAAAAACAACAACAACAGTATAAATGTAAAGCTGATGCTACAAAAAAAGTAATGTGTTCCATAGGTTTCATTTTCATATCTACAGAATTGAAGTGTTGCCCTGGCCAGTTTGGTTCAGAGGTTAGAGCATTGGCCCACGAACAAAAAGGTCTTGGGTTCGATCCTTATGAAGGGCACGTACCTCTGTTGTGGTTCGTCCCTGGCCCTGGTTGGGGTCATGCAGGAGGCAACTAGTCAATGTGTCCCTCTCACCTCAATGTTTCTCTCTCTCTCCCTCCCACTCTATCTGAAGATAAATAGAAAAATACCCTCGGGTGAGGAATAAAAAATCTCATGAGGACTTTTGGTCAAGATGGCGGCGTAGGTAAATGCGGTATCGCATCCTCCCACAACCACATCAAAGTTACAACTAAACTACAGAACAACCATCATTCAAAACCACCTGAAATCAAGCTGAATGGAAGTCCTACAACCACGGAATTAAAGCAGCAGCCACATGGAGACTGGTAGGTGTCCAACAGCCTGGGAAGTGGCGCCAGACAACTTGCTCGACCATTACCACGCTTACCCAACCTTAACCCCCGCCCTGATTCAGGAACTATTTGCCCAGGGCTTATAGACACACATCCTATTACGCATCAGGCAGATATAAAAATCACAGACCCCAGCATCGGGCGCGGCTTCTAGGACTCGACCCCCGGAGTCTGTGAACCCTCACGGAGTGTACCCAATAAAGCCTGATCTGGTTATTCGGCTGTTTGGCTCTCCAGTCTCTTCTCATCTTTTCGGTGGCGCCCCGATTCCTTACACTAGGAGGGGTGGAGGTGGACGAGCTGCCCCACACCCACGTGTGGCAGATAAAAATCAGGAGGCTCCCGCGGCTGGGAAGGTCCTTCCTGAGGACTGAGGGGTCCCCGTCCCACACCAGACACCCCACTCAGAGTTCCAGTATCAGGAAGAGAATCCCCATAACTTCTGTGTAAATTATTCTTTATCTCAGTTAATGCCTCCTTCATTTCTGACTGCATCCGTCATTTCTGACTGGTCCTTTATGATGCTCTTGAGGCCCTCACTAAATTCACTGAGCATCCTTATAAGCAGTATTCTGAACTCAGCATCTGTTAGGTGGCTTATCTCCATTTCGCTTAGTTCTTTTATTGGGGTTTTGTTCTGTTCTTTCATTTGGGACCTGCTTCTTTGTCTCCTCATTTTGGCTGGCTCCCTGTGTTTGTTTCTGTGTATTACTTAACCAGAGGTATGGGGCTAGCTCAGACCAGATGCTGCTTGTTTGAAAGAATTTAGGAAAATCTGAAGCAGGATCCAAGACAGGCCAATCCTGTGGTTAAGCAACTAGCAACAGCTTGGGTGGGCCTGAAAGTTGGGTGGGGTGGGGTGGGGTGGGGCGGGGCCTCCGGGAATTACCAGGGCGGGGCTACCAGTGTGAGCCAGGTTGCCGGAGCCCCAGATATGGCGGCTGTCTGCTGCCCCAGGGAAAGGCTCACCAAAGGAACAAAGGCCTCTGACAGTATGCCTGTCCCGGAGAAAGCCCCCTCTCCAGCCCTCACTCCGGTGCCAAACAGCTCAGTTCTTTCCTATATGTCTCTGGTGCCCCTCGAGCTGCCTCCCCTCCAAGCTTAGAGGGAGTGAGTCCAACCAGTCCGTGCGCGGGCCCTTCAAGGAGCTGCCTGGGAGTCCAGCCACCTCAGCCTCCCTGAGCCTCAGTTCCCGTTGGTTTTTACAGCCAGAAGTTATGGGGATTCTCTTCCTGTCACTGCAACCCTGAGCGGGGCACCTGGTGTGGGACGGGGGGACCCCTCAGTCCTCAGGGAGGAACTTCACAGCTGAGGTGTCCTCCTGATTTTCATCCGCCACACATGGATGTGGGACCATCCTGTCGCGCCTCTGTCCCCCCTACCAGTCTCGATGCTGCTGCTGCTTTAATTCCGTAGTTGTAGGACTTCCATTCAGCTTGATTTCAGGCGGTTTTGAATGATGGTTGTTCTGTAGTTTAGTTCTAACTTTGATGTGGTTTTGGGAGGACACGATACCACGTTTACCTACGCCACCATCTTGACCGGAATTTAAGACAACTGAAATTTAAGGCCAATTTCTAATTAGCTTTATTAAAATGAAGTGTTAAATAGTACTAGGCACCTAAAACCTGTACCCCAATCTTTTCTTAAAATTTTTTTTCCTTTATTAATTTTTAGAGAAAGAGGAAAGAACAGGGAGAGAGAGAGAGAAACATCGATGAGAGAGACCATCCATTGGCCGCCTCCTGCATGCCCCTCACTGGAGATTTGGCCCACAACCTCTGCATGTGCCCTGATCAGGAATCAAACCAGCAACCTCTTGGTACTGAGCCACACCGGATGGACTTTATTATGTTTTTAAGTCAAAGGCCATCACATCCACATGAAGTATTTTATAAACTTCAACAAAGCTTTGTGTTAATTTCCTCTAAGGAGTAGTTCTCCACCTGTGGGTCACGATCCCTTTGGGGGTCAAACAACCCTTTCACAGGTGTTGGAAAACACATATTTCCAATGGTGATTCATAACAGTAGCAAAATTACAGTTATGAAGTAGCAACAAAAATAATTTTATGGTTGGGGGGGTCACCACAACATGAGGAACTGTATTAAAGGGTCACGTCATTAGGAAGGTTGAGAACCACTGCTCTAAGGCATCTTAATAATCTTTTAAAATATATATAGTTTACTTATTATTAACCAAGAGTCTGGTTCAGTGTAAGTGTCTTGCTACCCAGAAATACTGAATGAGCGGCCCAGGTGTTTTGTTGCAGGTGGTTCATCTAACACAGTAGAGACAGTCCAATGGAATAAGCAGTCTTAAACTGCTGTCAAGAACTACTCTCAAACAAGTATTCAGACATGTGGTCTTAGGAACAAGTGCTGAAGCACTACTCTTTTGCTTGTATAAATTAAGACCCAGTTCAGCAATACTTACAGTTAACAACGGAGTTGTCAATAGGCCCCAAGCAAAGAATTCAAGGAAGATCACAGTAGCAGCATGGTACACACTGGGTCGGCCAAAGCCCTGTAGCTGAAAAAGAAAGAATGTTACTATAAAAAAGAGCGAAGAGTTTTAAAATGTGTTACCATAAAATGATCTTTCTCTCTCTCTCTTTCACATACACACACAGTATATATTTAGAACCTATCTTTAATATTTAAGATAAAACTTCATCCTGCAGCATCCCTGATTCTTTCATTTTCCCTAATTATATAAGGTACCAAGATTACACATTTCCTACTCATCTCATCAATACAGATCACGGAAGCTTTGGTAAAAAATCAAATGAGTCTTCAGAAAACTGAGGTTCCAGGACCCAACTATTCTGTCTCTTACTCATGTGTTTCTCAGTAACTTGTCCTCTAGGTCTGAAGTCTCCCTAGCTACATAAGGTGTGGTAGGTAGGCATTGGAGTCATGTGCTCAAAAACTTCAGGGAAGCACAGCGAATTTAAATTAAGTGGCTGGAGGAAGACACATACTCCATACCTAAAAGTGTCAAAATCCAGCTTTCTGTTTTGTTTTAAGACTGTGCCTATTCTTCTAGTTTTATGCAGTTTGTGACTTCTGGAGATGAAATCTAATATTCCTCTGAATTTAATGCTCTCTAACTCTGACAATGCTCATTATAAGATAGGTATTTTGCGAGCACTTGGTAGACTTGGATGTGAACTTACAAAAGACTCTGTAAAACCCACACTATTCCTATGCTTATATTTTCTAGTCTTCAAAAGGTAAAAATAAATTTGGACATCAAAATTACAACTAAACTAAAGAACAATCATCATTCAGAACCTCCTGAAATCGAGCTGAATGGAAGTCCTGCAACTATGAAATTAAAGCAGCCACATGGAGACTGGCAGGCGGGGTGGAGGCACAGATGGGATGGTCCCACACCCACCTGTGGTGGATAAAAATCAGGAGGGATACCTTGGCTGGGAAGGTCCTCCATGAGGAGTAAGGGGTCCCTGTCCCACACCAGGCATTCAGCTTGGGGTTCCAATGCCAGGAAGAGAATCCCCACTAAAAACCAGTGGGAACTGAGGCTGAGGCTGCTAGAGTCCCAGGCAGTTCCTCTTAAAGGGCCCACACACACAGATTTACTCGGACTTGCTCCTTCTGGGAGCCAGTGTGGGGAAGGCAGCTTGAAAGGCACCAGAGTCGCCCTGGCCGGTTTGGCTCAGCGGTTAGAGCGTCGGCCTGCGGTCCGGAGAGACCCGGGTTCGGTTCCTGCTAATGGCACGTACTTCGGTTGCAGTTTGTCCCCGGCCCTGGTTGGTCGTGCGGGTGGCAGCCACTCGATGTGTCCCTTCACGTCGATGTTTCTGTCTGTCTCTCCCTTCCTCTCTCTCCCTCCCACTCTATCTGTACAAAAAATGGAAAAATATCCTCGGGTGAGGATAAAAAAAAAAAAAGAAAGGCACCAGAGTCAAATGGGGAAAAACTGAGTTGTTTGGCACTGGGGCGAGAGCTGGAGAGTCAGCTTTCTCCTGAACAGACTTGCTGTCAGAGGCTGTTGTTCCTCTGGTGAGTCCTTCCCCCTGCTGTCTGCCCCCTTATCTGGGACTCCTACAACCTGGCTCACACTGTTTGCCTGGCCCTGCTGATTCGCTGAGGCCCCGCCCCACCCAACTTTCAAGCCCACTCAAGCTGTTTCCAAAAACTTTACCATAGGATTGGCCTGTTTTGGATCCTGCTTCAGAGTTTCCTAAATTCTCTCAAACAAGCAGCTTCTGGTCTCCACAAGCCCCATACCTCTCACTAAATGGCACCAAGCCTGGCACTAGCCTTGGTTCACAGCTGGGCTTTGGCTGGGCACCTCCAACCCTAGCAGAAGAAGCAGTCATCGGCAGATCACTTTGTAGCTTATGCCTGGTGGCCCCCAGTAGAACACAGGCAGTGGCTGACCTTGCCCAAGAGCCAGCACACCCAGTGGACAGCTTCGGATCACACTGAAGCATTACCACCCAACCACCTCCACAAGTGACACACTAAAGGAGTGTATTCAGTGGGTACCAGAGCCCTGATGAAGTAAGTCTTGCTCTGTGTGGTGGGCCCCTGCACAGCTGATCCTCCAAAGTAGTCAGAGGCCAGTGGTCAGTGGACACAGCCAGTCCTTGCAGCTGATCAGCCCGAGTAAATCCCTCTCACTGACGGGCCAACAGCAATCCAGACTCAATTAAAACAAAGGGTGTACAGTCCACACTAGGGGTACACCTCAAGGGCTCAGCTGGGGTAATCAGGGAGTCTGTGCCACTGGACACCTACAGAACACCTACAATAGGCCACCCTACGAAGCCTAAGAGATATAGAAACAAACACAGGGAGGCAGCCAAAATGAGGAGACAAAGAAACAAGTCCCAGAACAAAACTCCAGGAAAAGAATGAAATAAAATGGAGATAAGCAATCTAGCAGAAGCAGAGTTCAAAACACTGGTTATAAGGATGCTCACAGAACTTAGTGAGAACATCAACATAAAAAAGGACCAGCCAGAAATGAAGGATGCACTAACTGAAATAAAGAATAATTTATAGGCCCTGGCCAGTTTCTCAGTGGTTAGAACGTCAGCCCGTGGTCCAGAGAGACCTGGGTTTGGTTCCCGCTGGGGGCGCATACCTCGGTTGCAGTTTGTCCCTGGCCCCGGTTGGGCTTGTGCAGGAGGCAGCCATTCGATGTGTCCCTTTCACGTCGATGTTTCTCTCTGTCTCTCTCTTCCTCTCTCTCCATCCCACTCTATCTGAACAAAAATGGAAAAATATCCTCAAGTGAGGATAATAATAATAATAATAATAATTTATAGGGAATCAATATTAGAGTAGGTGAAGCCAAGAAGCAAACCATCGATTTGGAATATAAGGAAGCAAAACACACCCAATCAGAACAGCAAAATGAAAAAAGAATTTTTTAAAAATGAGGATAGTGTAAAGAGCCTCTGGGACAACTTCAAGGGTACCCAACATTTGCCTCATGGGTGTGCCAAAAAGAGAAGAGACAGAGCAAGAAACTGAAAACCTATTTGAAACAATAATGACAGAAAACTTCTCTAACTTGGTGAAGGAAACAGACATACAAGTCCTGGAACAACAAAGAGCCCCAAATAAGATGAACCCAAAGAGGCCCACACCAAGACACATCATCATCAAAATGCCAAAGGTTAAAAACAGCGAATCTTAAAAGCAGCAAGAGAAAAGCAGTTAGTTACCTACAGGAAACTCCCGTAAGAGTGTCAGCTGAGCCCTGGCCGGTTTGCCTCAATGGTTCGAGCATCAGCCCGCGGACCAAAGAGTTTCGGGTTCGATTCTAGTCAAGGGAACATACCTTGGCAGTGGTTTGTCCCAGCCCTGGTTGGGGTCGTGAGGAAGGCAGTCGTCAATATTTCTCTCTGTCTCTTCCTCCCTACCTCCCACTCTATCTGAAGATAAACAGAAAAATCTCCTAGAATGAGGATTAAAAAAATTTTAATAAAAGACTCTCAGCTGATTTCGCAAAAGAAATCTTACAGGCCAAAAAAGAGTGGCAAGAGATATTCAAAGTGATGAAAAGCAAGGACCTACAACCAAGATTACTCTATCCTGCAAAGCTATCATTTAGAATCAATGGACATATAAAGAATTTCCCAGAAAAGAAAAAGCTAAAGAAGTTCATCATCACCAAATCAGTATTATATAAAATGTTGAAGGGTCTTCTTGAAGGAGAAAAACAACAAAAAATATGAACAATAAAATCATATGTATCAACAACTGAATCTACAAACAAAATGAGCAAGCAGAACAGAAACAGACTCACAGATACAGAGAACTTTTTGTTGCTTGTCAGATGGGAACGGGTTGGAGGGATGGGTGAAAAAGGTGAAAAAATTAAGAAATACAAATTAGTTGTTAGACTGATGAACCTCAAAGGGAAGGGGGGAGGGAGGGCGGAAAGAGATAAACCAAAGAACTTCTATGCATAACCAATGGACACAAACAGTAGTGTGGGGAAGGCAGGAGGGGTACAGGAGTGGGGAGATGGGGGGGTCAATAGGGAATGAAGGGGGAACAACTGTAATACATTCAACAATAAAGATAAGTTTTAAAAAATAAAGTAAAAATTGCCAATAAATAAATAAAATTACATTTCCATGATTTAACTAGAATCTAATCATGACAAAAGATCAGACAAATCCAGACTATGGGGCATTTGACAAGAAAAATGGCCTACTCTCCTTAAAAATCTCAATGTTATAAAAGATATAAGTAAATGTAGAAAGAGTCATCAAGACCCAAAGTAATTGTCTTTTCTCTGGTCTTTTATTTATTTAAAAAAATTTTCGTTATTGATTTGAGAGAGAGAGGAAGGGAGGAGAGAGAGATAGAAACATCAATGAGAGAGAGCATCGACTGGCTGCCTCCTGCATGTCCCCCACTGGGAACTGGGCCCACAACCTGGGCATGATCCCTGACCAGGAATCAAACTGGTGACCTCTTGATGCATGGGTCAATGCTCAACCAGTGAGCCACACTAGCTGGGCTCTGTGGTCTTTTAAACAGCAAAACCCAGCCCTGGCCGGTTTGGCTCAGCGGTTAGAGCGTCGGCCTGCGGTCCGGAGAGACCCGGGTTCGGTTCCCACTAAGGGCAGGTACCTCGGTTGCAGTTTGTCCCCGGCCCTGGTTGGTCGTGCGGGTGGCAGCCACTCGATGTGTCCCTTTCACATCGATGTTTCTCTCTCTCTCTCTCTCTTCCTCTCTCTCCCTTCCACCCCATCTGTACAAAAAATGGAAAAATGTCCTCAGGTGAGGATGAAAAAAAACAAAACAAAACAAACAAACAAACAAAAAAAACCCAGCAAAACCCAGAATATAGAAAACATTTTGAGACAAACTGACCAGTTCCTTCAACAAAGAAAGGGCAAAAGGAAAAAAAGAAAAAAAAAAAAGAGGGAGAATTATTTTAGTACATAGATTAAAAGACATTTAAGAAATATGTGGACTTTGGGTTTTGACTCAAATAATCTGAAAAAAAGACAATTTTGAGTCAATCATGAAAATCTG